CTTCGCCACCACCCACACCCAGCTTCCCGCCCTATGACGTTCGGACACTTCACTTCGTGGCCTGCGGACGACCGTGGCTACTACACTGGCGTGGAGTACACACCCACAGAAGTTGTTAAGCCTACGTTCGTACACCCACAGAAGTTGTTAAGCCTTGTTAACCCACAGAAGTTGTTAAGCCTTCCACAGAACATCTGTTGCATATGATGCATATGGTACATGATACACATGATACACATGATACGTACTCACAAGATAGTTGATCACATCTTTAGGGCAAATTCCTGAGGGATGTGGGAATACACAAGAGAGAGAGGATATGGTTGTCCCGATGGTTGTCTCGATGGTTGTCCCGATGGTTGTCCTGATGGTTGTGGTTGTCCCGATCGTTGTCCCGATGATTGTCCCGATGGTTGTCCTGATGGTTGTGCTTGTCCCGATCGTTGTCCCGATGACTGTCCCGATGATTGTCCCGATGGTTGTCCCGATGGTTGCGAAGAAAAAACGAATGTGTCCCGCATGGTATTATTTGACAGGGATGATGGCCCTGGCAGGTGCGCAACCGTTGTCGCAGAAGTTCGAAAAAGTTGCTCGCAAAAGCCCGTTTGACAGAAATGTTTAAAAAGTGTTGGGTTTCCTACGAATCCGCAAGAGCGCGCGGGATGAGATTTTGACAATTTTTTGTTGAAAAACCATTGGTTTTTTGATGTTTTTATGTTAAAATCGCTGCGAACACTAAGGTTTTGGAAGGATTTCGTCTTGCGCGCGCGAATGTCCACTTTACCTTATTTTTTGCAAGGGATTCTTGAAATTTGATTATATTAGAACAAGAAATGTCATTTTCTATTGTTTTTTGCAAGGGAAAGCGGATTACAACAAAACAACCGGATCCTGTACACACCCTCTTTTCTGAGGCTTCCTCACGAAAATGATGAAAATGTAGCTGCGGCCTAGGCGGCGCAGGGGGGGCGCGCACCAGGGGGCCCAACAATAATTATTCTTTAGAATAAATAATGTTCAACAACAACAACAACAACAGCAGCAGCAACAACAACAACAGCAGCAACAGCAACAGCAACAGCAACAGCAACAGCAACAACAACAACAACAGCAGCCGTCACAGCGGAGGTTCAGGCGCCAGCATGGACTCAGCAGGCGGTTCGGCACCGCGGCCGCCCAACATGTCAGGCCACGCGCTGGGCCCTCAGCGGGCTGCGCCTGTCGCGCTCGCAGCCGAACGCCCTGATCTCGTGCCGCGGGCGGGGTGGGCAGCGTAGGCGCGCGAAGTTGCGGCAGCGGAGGGCTCGACCTTCGCTGCCCTGCGCGGCCAGGGCTTCCATGGGTGGATCCAGCACTGAATAGCGGCAGGGGCCGGCGGCCTCCACGCCTATCGCCGCGGCCCTCGGGGCTGGATCCCCGACGAGGAGTTGGAAGGGGCGCCTGCTCATGGGCCAGCGCGCGCGAAGGTGGTCGCGGCCAAGTGGGCCACCGAGGTATGGCGGGCCCGTTGTGAGGGTGCTCGTGCTCGCCCACGGCGACCTCCTAACGATGCCGTGGCCCTGCCCAGGCCGTCTGCCGAGAGGGTGCGGAGAGGGGGAGGGGGAGGGGGAGGGGGAGGGGGAGGGGGAGGAGGAGGGGGAGAGGAGGAGAGGAGGAGGAGGAGGAGGAGGAGGAGGGAAGAGGATATAGACGACGGAAGAGGAAGAGGAGGAGGAGGAGGAGGAGGAGGAGGAGGAGGAGGAGGAGGGGGAGGGGGAGGAAGAGAATGAGGAGGATGATAATGATGAGGAGGAGGAGGAGGGAGGGAGGACCAGTGTAAATCCGAGGGTCATCAACGATGTTGGAATTCAAATCCTTCCAAGCTCCCTCTTCGTAGGCTCCCACAGCGGTTCATTTCCAGTGAGGAAACTGCCTCGTTGGAAGACAACCGTTTGAAGATCCTGAAGCATGCCAGAACTTTATTCTCGGGATTTCAACGCCACGTATGGATTTGACTGCTGCGTCTTGACGATCCGAAATCGTGCCAGAGCGCCATATGTGGGACCCCAACACCGCGAACCAACATATCCGGTGCACCCGCATAATCCTGAATCCTTCCAAAACGCAAGTTCTGGTACGCTGATCCTGGGAATCCGTGAACCTCTTGCAATGTTTGTTAAACGAATGTGCGAGGCGCAAAGGCGACAGCCACATGTTGAAAAAGAACCGCCCTCAATCCGTGAAGCTCTTTCAAATTTTGAAAACGAATGTGCGCGGCGCTCAGACGAGAGCCACAATTTGAAAACGACCCGCCCTCAATCCGTGAATCTCTTGCACATTTTGAAAACGAATGTGCGCGGCGCTCAGGCGAGAGCCACATTTTGAAAACCACCCGCCCTCAATCCGTGAAGCTCTAGTACATTTTGAAAACGATTGTGCGCGGCGCTCAGGCGAGAGCCACATGTTGAAAACCACCCGGTCTCAATCCGTGAAGTTTTGTTTAAAACGAATGTGCTCGGCGTTCAGAGGAGAGCCACATTCTGAAAACGACCCGCCCTCAATCCGTGAAGCTCTTGCAAATTTTGAAAACGAATGCGCGCGGCGTTAAGGCGAGAGCCACAATTTGAAAACGACCTGCCCCCAATATGTGAAACTCCTGCAAATTCTAGACGCTTCGCGTATCCCCACCAGCAGTCGTCTTCCGTTCCCGGGTCGGCTCTAATGAGGTTCATTTTGTCCCTCGCACGTGCATTGCGGCGTTGGCCTATGTGCCTTCGTTGCCAATCGTCTCGCGTTGCGCCCCCTGTCGAGATTGACCCGCTCTCTGGAACCGTCCTTGGAGCCGCAGATCAAAAAAAGTATCCCCACCAGTATTTTGTTCAGTGCATGTGCAGGTGCGAGCTGTCTGTCCGCCGACTCTGGCTGGCGACGAATTGTCTTGCAATTAGCCCCGTACCGTGACCCGGACGCCGCTTCCGCTCCCTGTCCGTTGCCTTGGAGCCGCTGACCAAAAAAAGTAACCCCACCAGGCCATCCAGAAACGATGTCCAGGCGAGTTGAGGTGACAAGGGAAGTGCAGCAGCAAAGAGGAGGACGGCCGAACCGTGCAAAGGAGTGAGGAGGAGAAGGAGGAGGTGGATGGATGGGTGGATGAGGGAGTGGGAAGAAGGAGGATGAATAGGATGATGATGATGATGATGCTGATGCTCATGATGATGATGATGATGATGATGGTGATGGTGATGATGTTGATGATGATGATGATGATGATGATGATGATGATGATGATGATGATGATGATGATGATGATGATGATGATGATGATGATGATGATGATGATGAGGAGGAGGAGGAGGAGGAGGAGGAGGAGGAGGATGAGGAGGAGGAGGAGAAAGAACAGGAGTAGGAGCAGGAAGGAGGAACAGGAGGAGGAGGAGGAGGAGGGCAAGCACAAGGGCCAGAGGTCTCTTGGATGCCTCTCGGAGCCTCTTGAGGTATCTCTTGGGCGATTCTTGGTGGCCTCTTGGGACGTCTTTGGGGGTCTCTTGGCGATCCTGGGGGGCTCTTAGTGGTCTTGGGTGCCTCGGGGGGGGCCTCGGGGGGCCGCTTAGGGTCTTCTTGGGGGCCTCCTGGGGGCCTCTTGGAGGCCCCTGGGGGCCATCTTGGGTCCATCTTGGGACCTCTTGGGGCCTCCTAGAGGCTTCTTGGCACCATCTTGGAGGAGATCGGTCAACGAAGGGGTGTTCCTTATTCGCGTCCCCCCCCCAGGAGGCCACAATGGGGCCCCAACCCTAGTAAAATCAATGATTTTGGCTTCGCCGAGGCCGTTTTGGACGCTCTGACACCTCCCCGCCCCTCCCGTCCAGGTCCACGGGGAGGGGGGAGGGGGAGGGGTAAACCCTTCCCCGAAGGGGAAGAGGGAGGGGTGGAAGAGGAAACGCCTTAAACCACCGACGCCCAGAGGGCTGGTGGGATTGTAAAGCGAATGTGCGCGGCGCTAAGGCGAGAGCCACATTTTCAAAGCGACCCGCCCTCTATCTGTGAAGCCGTTGACGCTTTGCAAGCTTCAGCGTCTTAAATGGTGAGGAAGTCTCAGGCGAAACGCCCGGCACGCCCCAAAAACTTGCCGCGGGGTGCGACAGGGAGGAGTTATCTACAAGGAGAAGGAATGGAGGAGGAGGAGGAGGAGGAAGAGGAGGAGGAGGAGGAAGAGGAGGAGGGGGAGGAGGATGAGGAGGAGGGGACGGAAGCTGATGATTAAATATATCACATACACATATCAATACATCAGTTAATACATGTTTGCATTTCTATGTGTATGGGCAGCAATGTGTATTACATAAATATTGCATGTAGGAGGGGATCAACGGAGGAGGACGGCGACGAGGACGAGGATGAGGGTGAGGACGAGGACGATCACGAGGAGGAGGTGGAGGGGGAGGGAGAGGAGGATAAGAATAAGGATAAGGATAAGGATGATGGTAAGGAGGAGAATACGGATGATGATAAGGAGGAAAACAAGGAGGGTATAGGCGGAGGAGGAGGAGGGGGAGTATGTTGACGGAGGAGGAGGAACAGGAGGAGGGGGAGGAGGCGGATGAAGAGAAGGAGGAGGAGGAGGAGGAAGAAGGGGAGGGGGAGGAGGAGGAGGAGGAGGAGGAGGAGGAGGAGGAGGAAGAGGAGGAGGAGGAGGAGGTGGAAGAGGAGGAGGAGGAGGAATATGAAGAAAAAGAAGAGGAGTAGGAGGAGGAGGATAAGGAGGAGGAGGAAGAGGAGGAAGGAAGAGGAGGAGGAAGAGGAGGAGGAGGAGGAGGATAATAAGGAAGAAGGAAGAAGGAAGAAGGAAGAGGAGGAGGAGGAGGAGAAGGAGGAGGACGACGACGACGAGAATGAGAGTATTGACGGAGGTCGAGGAGGAGGAGGAGGAGGCTCTCCTCCCATTTCCCCCTCCTCCCGCCTCGTTCCCCTTGGGAGCCCGTTCTTGTAGCGCCGCGGACGCGCGCGGGCGTCGCCCCCGCGAGGGCGTGACAGTCACGGTCACGCCCGCGGCCTCGCAAAGGATTGCCCGTGCAGCCCCGCCCGGGGCCGAGCGAGTTAAAGTGTAGTCGACTAGACGTAAGAGTGACCTTTCGCCGGAGTGACCTTTGGTGCGGGCTCATCGGGCTCCCCCCGATCGCCGAGCGCGATGCGATATAAGCGGCCCGCGCCCTTGGGTTTGGCTCCCTCGCGCCCCCAAAAGCTGCGCACCAAAGGTCACTCTTACCCAGGGTCACTCTTACGCCTAGCCGATGTAGGAGGGGAAGAGATGCGGAGGCGTCTTCCTATCTCACACGTTGCGCGAGTGCTGTTGTGACTGCCGCGTCCACTGTTGCCTCCAGGGCTGTGGGCAGGTTGAGAAGGGGGGGAAGGTAGATGATGAGGGGGGAGGGGAAGGGGGACGGGAGTGGGTGATTTGGAAGGGAGACAGGGGGGGAGGGAGGCCGCGATGCGGTCGACTTTGTTTCGATCGTTTGCCATGTGTGTTGTCTCTGTCCTTTCCCCGCGTCTCCTTTCGCATTCCCTTCTGTTCGATTGCGTCGTCATCCAGACTTAGCCTGCGCACATCAAACCTCGGTGAACCCTTCCCAGGAGGAGGAAGGGGGGAGGATGCTGAGGCTCCGAGCTGGCAGCGAAGCTGGTGTGTCTCTATCCGCGTACGGTAAGTGTTGCGGGCAGGCCTGCCCAACATCACTAGGTGTAGGATGGAATCTTGTTCGACGGGTAGTTCAAGTAAGTAGGGGCGCGGAGGAGGAGGAGGAGGAGGAGGAGGAGGAGGAGGAGGAGGAGGAGGAGGAGGAGGAGGAGGAGGAGGAGGAGGAGGAGGAGGAGGAGGGGGGACTTATTCTGGAGGACATCTTATGCAACCTGCAACCATGTCGGAGCCATCCGGAGCCATACCGGACGGTCCAACTGCCCGCGGGGCGGGAGGGCCTTTCAGACCCAGGGGGGGCGGTCCGAAGGGGAAGCACGAGGTTGGAACAGAGAAATCGCAGAACCAAACAGAACCCGAGAGAGCCGCCTCGCGCCGCTGCCGCGCTGCACGGCAACTCTCGCTGACGGGGCGCCGTCCCCGAAGACGGTCGCACGGGCGCTGGCCTGCACGCGCAGGCCCGACCCAGAACTCCGACGTGCTGCTTTTTCACAGCGTGGACCCCCGGAGATCTCGACCCCTCCCCCTGGACTGGACTTTCATCTGGGGGCGTTTCTTGACGGTCTTGGGGCTTGGCAGGGGCCCCCCGACGCCGAAAGTTGTCCACCCCAACCCGTCGCAGTTTTCTTCAACGAGAGGAGGTATGGGGAGGGGAGGAGGAGGAGGAGGAGGAGGAGGAGGAGGAGGAGGAGGAGGAGGAGGAGGAGGAGGAGGACCAGTGCAAACCCAAGACTCATCAACGATGTTGGAATTAACCCTCCCTCCAAGCTCCCTCTTCATAGGTCCCTACAAGGGTTCATTTCCACTGAGGGTTCATTTCCGCTGCTTGTCTCTTCCGCCGATTTTTCTCTCGTTGTCTCTCATGCTCCCTCTCTTCCCCAATTTAGGCCGTAGCTAGCGCGCTATGACTTTGACGGCGTGCAGCACCTCCGTTTCGCTTGCGATCAAAAAGTATCCCCTGCAGCCCATTCAGAAACCCTGCCCTTCAGAGCTGACGGGAAAAAGGGAGGAAAAGACACATCTAGGGAGACAAAGCGAGCAAGGGGGTGGCCTTGGAAGGCCTTTTCTGGCCATCCGTGGGAGCCGCGTGGGGGCGAGGGGAAGAGGAGGAGGAGGAGGAGGAGGAGGAGGAGGAGGAGGAGGAACAGGACGAGGAGGACGAGGAGGACGAGGAGGGCGAGGACGGGTATGAGGACGAGGACTAGGATGAGGACGACGCGGACGAGGACTCATGGAACCATCTAGAGTTGTTATCGCGGCTGCTGCCGCTGCTGGTGCTCTCCGTGAGTTGTGGGGGCCCTCTTGGAACACTCTTGGTAACCTTGGAAGGCTTCTTGGAATCATCTTGGGGGCCATAAATTCCAGGGTGGGAGGGTCCCCAACTCAACTCCCCCTCAGGAGCTGGCAAACCGCTTCTTGGGGCTCTCTTGGAACGCTCTTGGGCGCTATTGGAGCGGTCTTTGGGCCGTTTGGAGCATCTTGGGAGCCACCTTGAGCCAGCTTGGGCTATCTGAACCATCTTGGAGGTCATTTTGGGCTCTCTGAGACCGCTCGGGGGCCTCTTAGGGGGCCCCTCTGGTGCCTCTTGGGGCCCTCTTGGAGCCCTCTTGGGGCTCCCTTGGAGATTTCTTGGGAGCCCTGGAACGCCTCATGGGGCCATCTTCGAGGCTATCGATCAAAGGAGGGCGGGTCCCGATCGAGGCCCCCCCCTCGGAGGCCACGATCCTCGTGAGGGGTGTCAAAAATTTGCCCTCCCAGGGGCCGATTTTGGACGCTCCAACGGATCGCGGCCCCTCCCGTCCAGGTCCAGGAGGGAGGGGTAAACCCTTCCCCGCATGGGAAGAAGAATTTTTGGAAGAGGAAAGACAAGCATTGTTAGACCACCTGCGCCCAGAGGGCTGGTGGGATTTTTTACGACGAATGTACGCGGCGTTCAGGCGAGAGCCACATTTTGAAAACCACCGGCCCTCAACCCGTTCAGCTCTTGCACATGTTTAAGACGAGTTTGCGCGGCGCTAGGGCGAGAGCTACATTTTGAAAACCACCCGCCCTCCATATGTGAAAGCGTTGCCAAAATTCAAGCTCCAGCGTCATAAGTGGTAAGGACGTCGAAGGAGAAACGCCCAGCCAGCCCTTTCGACTGGCTTCGGGGTGCGACAGGGAGGAGTTATTTCCATGTAGTGGAAAGGAATGGAGGAGGAAGAGGAGGAGGAGGAAACGGAGGATGAGGAGGAGGAGGAGGAAGAGGAGGAGGGGGAGGGGGAGGACGAGGTGGAGGAGGAGCAGGAGGTGGAAGAGGAGGAGGAGGCGGAGGAGGAGGAGGCGTTCGAGGAGGAGGAGGAGGAGAAAGAGGAGGAGGAGAAGGCGGAGGATTAGTTGGAGGAGGAGGAACAGACGTTCTCGGTCGGTTTTCGGGCCGGCGATCGTTCGCGACGGTTCCAATACACCAATGGCGCAGTTTTCCGTTTCGCGTCGGTTTCCGACGGTTTGGGGCTTGAAGACAGCCCGTGGAGCCCGAAGTCGATGAGAAACGTCAGAGAATCGACTGTCGATGGAAATCCGATCGAAAAATCGAGGAGGGTGAGGTCGAATAATCGATAGTGACATCGAGGAAGGGGATGAGCAGGGGCAGGAACAAGCGGAAAAGGAGGAGGAGGAGGAGAAGGAGGAGGAGGAGGAGGAGGAGGAGGAGGAGGAGGAGGAGTAGGAGCAGGAGGAGCAGGAGGAGCAGGAGGAGGAGGAGGAGGAAGAGGAGGAGGAGGAGGAGGGGGAGGAGGAGGGGGGAAAGAGGCCCCCTCTGCTGCCACCGCGGGCTCCGCTGCGGGCTCGCCCGCTCAGCTCCGCGGCGCCGCCGCGGGGCCCGGGCGAGCGCGCGCCCCCTCAGGACGGTCGCGAGGGGCGGCGGCTTCGGCGCCGCGCGGAACTCGCTGAGAAGGCGGCGTGCGCGGGGCCAGCGCGGGAGCGGTCGGTACGGTAGAGGGAAACAATTACTGAGCACTCCCCCTCCCCCCCAAACTCGATGTTGGCACGTGCGGGGGAGACTGTGGTCGATGTGCATCTCATCTCGTCACCAGACCCACCACCAACTTTGAACATTGGGGGGAGGGGGAGGCGTTGACGGATGAATGTGGCATGTATTCGCTAGTTTGTTCCGAGGCCTATAGCAAATCAATTCGGAAAGTGGAACAGATGCATTACCAGTGGCGGGTTGCTTTTTCAATCCCACGGCTTTTTGAGGGTCGGGGACGACGTCGGGGTGGCGTGGTGTATATTTTTCCGTCGTCTTCCAAGGGAGACAACGAAACGACGTCTGCCAGTGAGGGAGCGGTCGGTAGCAAAGCATGGGAGCCTGGTGCAGTCAACCCGCACAGTAAGGATGGGCGGCCTTCCCAAGGGTACCCTTGCATCCTTGCCTTCTCGGCCCATCCTTGGCCACTTTCGCTGGCCGCGCCCCGCTCGAAAAGCTTCGAAATGGGCCTCCAAGGCCCTTGCATCCTTATCGCGCATCAAATCTTGGGAGCCTGGTATGCCCTCTCAATTCCGTCTTTAGCGTCGGCCAGCGTCGATTAGCGTTTGGGAGTCGACGAGGTAGCCCCGATTTAGCGTCGGCCAGCGTCGATGAGCGTCGATCTGGCGTCGATCAGCGTCGATTTGGCGTCGATCAGCGTCGATTCGCAAGATCCGACAAAATGATATGGGAGGCTCCCATGAGTTGCCACCGAAAGAGTGGAGCAGGAGGCCTAGGAGGGGGAGGAGCCGATATCTCGCGACTGGGATGGGCATGTGACCACTGATCGACCTCCTTCTTCAGGACGCTCTTTCGGTGGGTGTCGTGGCCAACTTAGGGTCGATGGAGTGTGCGTTTTTGGCTGCTGTGCGAGAGCACTTCTGCGCCCTGATGCCCCCGCATTATTCCCCCTGCCGCTGATAATTACCCGCTGTCCAGGCTAGGGGTCCGTTTGACCTTGACTTTGGCAGCTATTTGGACGTCCTGCGGTGTCTACTATTCCAATTATTTAACAAGCACCAGCTACAACAACAACAACAACAACAGTAGCAGCAGCAACAACAGCGACAACAACAGCGACAACAACAACAACAACAAGAACAATCATTTAAGACTGGGGACACTCCGTTCTCACCAGTGCCAGTGTTTTCATAGGAGGCGGGCAATACCCCCTCTTTGTGGGGGGGCCGGTTCAAGCTCTACCAAATTTCCATACGACTCTTCGCCACCACCCACACCCAGCTTCCCGCCCTATGACGTTCGGACACTTCACTTCGTGGCATGCGGACGACCGTGGCTACTATTCAGGGCCCCGCGGCCGACGACGACGGCGTGCGCGCGCGAAGAAAAAACGAATGTGTCCAATATGGTATTATTTGACAGGGATGATGTCCCTGACATGCGCGCAACCGTGGTTGCAGAAGTTCGAAGCACGTGAACAAGTTGCTCGCAAGAGCCCGTTTGACAGAAATGTTGAAAAAATATTGGGTTTCCTCAGAAATCCGCAAGAGCGCGCAAGATGAATTTTTGAAACTTTTTTTGAAAAACCATTGGGTTTTTCATGTTTTTATGTTAAAATCGCTACGAAAACTGAGGTTTTGGAAGGATTTCATCTTGCGCGCGCGAGTGTGCACTTCGTGTCATTTTTTTCAAAGGATTCTTGAAGTTTGGTTATGTTAGAACAAGACATTTCATTTTATAGTGTTTTTTGCAAGGGAAAGCGGGCGTCAACAAGACAACCGGATCTGGATGACATCGTTTTACCTGAGACTTCCTCACGAAAATGATGAAAATGTGGCTGCGGCCTAGGCGCGGGGGGGGGGCGTGCACCAGGGGGCCCAACAATAATTATTCTTTAGAATTAATAATGTTCAACAACAACAACAACAACAGCAACAGCAACAGCAACAGCAACAGCAACAGCAACAACAACAAAACAACAACAACAACAGCAACATCAGCAACAACAGCAACAATCATTTTAAGACTGTTCGCTCTTACTTGCCCGCGTGCCATGCAACGTGTATACCCACGCCCTCGATACCCGCCCCCTTCGTCTTCGAGCGTGCCCCCTTCTGGGGGGATTCTTTCTTTTTGCGGGGGCGGGCGGGCTTGCACAAGCGGGCGTGAATGGGCGGGGAATTATTCGGAGGATGGGGCGCGCATCTCTTTGCCCACCATTGGAATTAGCGCGGGCCCTGCAAGAAGAGGAAGGGGGAGAACGAGGGAGAGTGGGAGGAAGGGAGGGGGAGGGACGAGGCTACAGGGGAACGCGCCAGGAGAGAGGGGGCGAGGAGGGGGGGGGACGATTGGAGATAGAGAGACAGAGGAGGGAGGAAGGAGGAGGCTGGGGAGGGGAGGGCGAAGAGAGGAGGGAGGAGTGTTATGGGAGGAGGGTGTGGGGAGAGAGGAAGAGGAAGGAGGAGGGTGGATATGAGGGGGAGGGGGGGGAGGAGGGAGGTTGGATGGGGAGGAAGGGGCAGGAGGGTAAGAGTGTGAACGTTCGAGGAAGTCCTAGGCGAGGGCGTATTCCTCAAGGAAGAGTTGGGCGGGAGCGGGGGTCCCGAGTACATTGTCGGACGTCTCAGGCGGGGGCGCCGGTCGGGCGGGCGGACCCTGGCGGGCGGGTCGGGCGGGCGGGACATTCAAACGGGATTTTTGCGTAAATTGCGGGGAAGTATTAAGCGAGAGCGCGATTCCTAAGTAAATTGCGAGGGCGTCCTTGGCGCGAGCGTGGTTCCTGAGCGTCGAGAACGCGATGCTGCAAATAAATTGCGAGGAAGTCCTACGCGAGAGCCCCATTCCTGAGTAAATTATGCGGAAGTCTCGGGCGGGAGCAGGGGTCCTGATTAAGGAAGTCTCAAGCGGGAGCGCCGTTTTTGAATAAAATGTGAGAAAGTCTGAAGCGGGGGCGCCCTTCCGGAGTAAATTTTGAGGAAGTCTCAGGCGGGAGCGGGGGTCCTGAGTAAATTGTGAGGAAGTCTCAGGCAGGAACCGTTGTTGTTGTAGTCCGGGGCCCAACAACGCAATCTGATCCGCAAGGCTTTCCCTGTCAAAAAACAGGGTGCGAGCCCCGGAGGAAGCACTTCAATTGAAAAAACCAATGGGCACCGGACAGGGGGGATCAACAATAATTGTTCTTCAGAAATGAGAGTTCAACAACAACAACAACAAATACTAGCACGTGGGGACACTCCGTTCTCACCAGTGCCAGGGTTTTCATACGACGCCCGCCAATACCCCCACTTTGTGGGGGGGCCGGTTCAAGCTCTACCACATTTCCAAACGACTCTTCGCCACCACCCACACCCAGCTTCCCGCCCTATGACGTTCGGACACTTCACTTCGTGGCATGCGGACGACCGTGGCTACTATTCAGGGCCCCGCGGCCGACGACGACGGCGTGCGCGCGCGAAGAAAAAACGAATGTGTCCCGCATGGTATTATTTGACAGGGATGATGGCCCTGGCAGGTGCGCAACCGTTGTTGCAGAAGTTCGAAAAAGTTGCTCGCAAAAGCCCGTTTGACAGAAATGTTTAAAAAGTGTTGGGTTTCCTACGAATCCGCAAGAGCGCGCGGGATGAAATGTTGACATTTTTTTTTTTTTTGAAAAAACCATTGGTTTTTTGATGTTTTTATGTTAAATCGCTACGAACACTAAGGTTTTGGAAGGATTTCGTCTTGCGCGCGCGAGTGTCCACTTTACCTTATTTTTTGCAAGGGATTCTTGAAGTTTGGTTATGTTAGAACAAGAAATGTCCACTTTGCCTTATTTTTTGCAAGGGAAAACCGCCCGTAACAAAACAACCGGATCCGGACCAACCCGTTTTGCCGGAGACTTCCTCACGAAAATGATGAAAACATGGCTGCGGCCTAGGCGCGGCGAGGGGGCCGTGCACCAGGGGTCCCAACAATAATTATTCTTTAGAAGTAATAATGTTCAACAACAACAACAACAACAACAACAACAACAACAATCTCGCTTCTCGGTCCCCGAGTGGGTCCCAAGACAACCCCGATAAGACGCTTCAAGGGTTCAAGAGGACCCCCAAGAGACCCTGAGAGGTCCCCAATAAACCCCAACAGACCTCAAGAGGCGCCCGAGAGGCCCCCATCAGGCCCGAAGAAACCGCCCCCCCCCCCCCTCTTCCGCCCTCCCCTTGCCGTATAGGAGGCCCCCCGTGAAAGCTCCAAGAGGGCCCCGAGATGTCTCCAGGTCTCCCGGAGATGGTGTTGCAGCATCTCCGGGTGACCCGGAGACTGTTCGGAAGCCTCTTGGAGTTTCCTCGGGGCCCTCTTGGGGCCTCTCTGAGCGCTCCACGCCGTCCTGGAGCCCCCCCAGAGCGTTCCAAGAGGGCCCCGAGAGGTCTCCGGGTCACCCGGAGATGGTTTTGCAGCATTTCCGGGTGGCCCCGAGATTTTTCGGGACCCTCTTGGAGTCTTCTCGGGGCCCTCTTGGGACCCCAGCAAGCCCCCAAGAGGCTCCCGAGGGGCCCCCCCAAGACGCCCTAAGAAGACCCAAGAAGTATCAACATATCTCAAGAGGGTTTCAATAGGCCCCTATCAGGCCCCAAGATACCCCATCAGGCCCCCAAGAGGCCCACGAAGGGCCCCCCAGAGACGCCCTAAGAAACCCCCAAGAATCTCAACATATCTCAAGAAGCGCCCAAGAGGCCCCTCATCAGGCTCCAAGAAGCCCCCAGCAGGCCCCAAGAGGCCACCAAAAAGGCTCCCAAGAGGCTCGGCGATCATTTCAGAAATGCACGAAATCGTACAATGTTTGGATGCATGGTGACCCCGGCGCCGCGTCTACTTGCGCAGGCTCTCCGCATGCCCCCACGCAGCTTCACAAAAGGCGATCCTGATGAACAAAATCTCACAACGTGAGTTCCGGTGGCCCCCTGGGTCCCCTCTTGGGGCCGTCCTGG